GAGGGGGGGAGGCGAGGGAGGGATCGGACCCACGCTGGGTGCCCTGCGCAGGCTGCGTGATCCCCGGCTCCCATGCCTCAGCTTCCTCCGTCCCTCTCGCCAGCACGGCCCTGCAGCGTTCCCAGGGCAACTCTGGAGACGCCTGACCCTCTCCCAGCGCTCCCTGGCTCCCAGGGAAAGGCGCTGGCCCAGCGTTCCGTTCTGCTGTCACGCTCGAAGGCCTGACCCCGCTCATCTCGCACTCGTGCCGCAGGTGCCGTATGCCCGGTCGGAGGCACATCTGACAGAGCTGCTGGAGCGGGTATGTGAGAAGATGAAGGAATACGGGGAAAAAGTGGATCCGTCCACGCACCGTAAGAGTTACGTCCGGGTGATCTCTCACGACGGGACCAAGATGGACCTCTCCGGGGTTAAAATTGATGGAGACGTGGCTTCTAGCCTGAAGTTTGCGGTGCGTGCAGGGGCTGGGTCCTTGGGGTGGCTGTCGGGGCTCAGTGGAGGTTTTGGGTGGCGGCCCTGTGCTGGGCAGCTGCAGCTCTTCTAGGGATGAGCTGGTCCCACCAGCAGCTCCCAGCCGCTTCCCCTCATCCTTCCTGGGGCTGGAGGGAAGGAGGCTGCTCCCGGGCTGGGGTGGAGAGGTGCTTAGCTCCGGGCTCCCCTGGGTGCTGTTGGCATCGCCTGGCCCCGCGCGGTTGCCAGCTGACCCGCGAGTGGCTCCCGTTGCAGTGTGAGAGCATCGCTGAGGAGTACGAGGATGAACTCATCGAATTCCTCTCCCACGAGGCCGACAATGTCAAGGACCGGCTCTGCAGCAAGCGGACGGGTGAGCCGGGCTGGGCTGGCCCAGGGGGGTGTAGCTGCTCCGTCAGCGCTGAGAGGGGAGGAGCTGCCTGCCCAGAGCAGGGAGGACACAGAGCTGCGCATCCTCCCCGGAATCCCGACATCCCGTAGCCCTGTGGAGCAGCAGCCCCGGCGCCGGGGTGCGTCCCCACGCTGCCGGCCCAGTGCCTGGACCCTGCTGCCTGCTGGAGCTGCTGGCAGCTTTTTTTGGATGCTCTGCCCGGCCAGGCGCGC